TCACCAGCATCAAGGAACCTCCCTCGAGGGGGTCCAGTGTTAGAGATGAAGGAAACAGCTGTTTCTGACCCCTATGATGGTCTGCACAAGTTAACTGGACTGACCTAACAACTAGTATCATCCCAGGAGTAATTAAAAAAAGGGGGGAAAAGGGGTTGTAGTGTGGGTGGTGGGTAAGTGGTGGTATATAACCTAGGTGGTAGTTCCTGGCAATATAGGTACAAAACATGTAGGTTCATTACTACCCCCCCCCCCCCACCCCCCCACCCATATACATACACCAACTGTGGCTTTATTACCAGACTCCCACATCTTGAATTGTGCGAAAAGTGCGATTAACAGATGATACAAGTGGTAACAGTGTTAATATGAGGGTGGAAATGTGTGTGATAAGTGGGTTGTGGCCGCCAGTAACAGTAAGAACATAGGGAAGCAACACACCCTATCTCCCGACACATCACAAACACACTCACATTTCACCTGATTTATAGTGTAGCAGAGCGTGTTATTGCGCCAGTATGTGCGCCACTAGATGCTTTAACACCCACTGTCACCTCCCACACCACCACTGGACATTGTGACACTACCTAGAGAGGAAAAACTCACAGAGATGAGGGACTCTTGCCTAAGGGAGACGACCTAGATATTCCAAGATGGCTGCCGCACCGGCCGCATGGCAGTGGCGCGGTGCATCTTGGGAGCGGCGCTGCTGCTGCCATCTGCCGCAGCCTGCCGCTACACTCACTCTCCTGCCGCTGCCACCGCCACCACCACAAACCTCTCTCTCTCTCTCCTGCTGCCGTCGCCGCTACAAACCTCTCTCTCTCTCTCTCTCTCTTCTCCTCCTCAACCTCTCTCTCTCTCTCTCTCTCTCTCTCTCTCCCCTCTCTCTTCTCTCTCTCTCTCTCCCTGCTGCCGTCGCCGCTACAAAACCTCTCTCTCTCTCCTGCTGCCGTCGCCGCTACAAACCTCTTCTCCTCTCTTGCTGCCGTCGCCGCTACAAACCTCTTTCTCTCTCTCTCTCTCTCTCTCTCTGCTGCCGTCGCCGCTACAAACCTCTCTCTCTCTCTCCTGCTGCCGTCGCCGCTACAAACCTCTCTCTCTCCTGCTGCCGTCGCCGCTACAAACCTCTTTCTCTCTCTCTCTCTCTCTCTCCTGCTGCCGTCGCCGCCACAAACCTCTCTCCTGCTGCCGTCGCCGCTACAAACCTCTACCTCTCTCTCCTGCTGCCGTCGCCGCTACAAACCTCTACCTCCCTCCCTCCCCCCCCTCTCTCTCTATTGCTGCCGTCGCCGCCACAACCCTCTCTCCTGCTGCCGTCGCCGCTACAAACCTCTACCTCCCTCCCTCCCTCCCCCCCCCCTCTCCTCTCCTCTCTCTCCTTGCTGCCGTCGCCGCACAAACCTCTCTCCTGCTGCCGTCGCCGCTACAAACCTCTACCTCCCTACTCCCTCCTCCTCCCTCCCCCCCCCCCTCTCTCTCTCTCTCTCTTGCTGCCGTCGCCGCCACAAACCTCTCTCCTGCTGCCGTCGCCGCTACAAACCTCTACCTCCTCCCTCCCTCTCCCCCTCTCTCCCCCCTCTCTCTCTCTCGCTGCCGTCGCCGCCACAACCTCTCTCCTGCTGCCGTCGCCGCTACAAACCTCTACCTCTCTCTACCTCTACCCCTCTACCTCTACCCCTCTACCCCTCTACCTCTCTACCCCTCTACCTCTCTACCCCTCTACCTCTCTACCCCTCTACCTCTCTACCCCTCTACCCCTCTACCCTCTCCTCTGCCGTCGCCGCCACAAACCTCTCTCCTGCTGCCGTCGCCGCCACAAACCCCTCTCTCCTGCCGCCACAAACCCCTCTCTCCTGCCGCCACAAACCCCTCTCTCCTGCTGCCCTTAATGCCGCCACCAAAAACCTCTCTCTCTGCCACCGTTATTCCCTCACCCCCACCAGCAGAAATGTCACTTCTGCCACTGCTAGAAACTATCTGCTCCTGTCACTGTTAATGCCGCCGGCGGACACGTCGCTCCTGCCACTGTTAATGCCGCCACCACCACCAATGCCGCCAAAACCTTCGTTCTTGCCGCCGCTGCCGCCACCGTCAGAAGTGTCGATCATGCCACCACTATCGCCAGAGATCTCGCTCCTGCCGCCGTTAATGCCACCGCCACAGCCAGAAACCCCTCTCCTGCCGCCGTTGCCACCGCCACAGCCAGAAACCTTGCCTCTGCCAATGCCACAATCGCTCCTACAGACGTTAATGAGGCTGCCATCACGCCTGCCACTGCCGTCGTTCCTGCAGCTCTTGTGACTCCTTTGGTCGTCACCACCACGTGATGCGGTACAACACCCACAACTAACACCTGCAGCATACCTCTCCCTCAACCATCACCACGTGATGCAGTGTAACACCCACAACTAACACCTGCAGCATACCTCTCCCTCAACCATCACCACGTGATGCAGTGTAACACCCACAACTAACACCTGCAGCATACCTCTCTCTACCATCACCACGTGATGCAGTTTAACACCCACATCTAGAGAGTGTATAGAGATCCTTTACTGCACGTATAAGTTCTGTCAAGCACCTTAACTACTGGGAACGCTTGGAAGCACTCGACTTGTACTCGTTGGAACGCAGGAGGGAGAGATATATCATAATCTACACTTGGAAAATCTTGGAAGGAATGGTCCCAAATCTGCACACAGAAATCACTCCCTACGAAAGTAAAAGACTGGGCAGGCGATGCAAAATGCCCCCAATAAAAAGTAGGGGCGCCATTGGTACACTAAGAGAAAACACCATAAGTGTCCGGGGCCCAAACTTTGTTCAACAGCCTCCCATCCAAGCATAGGGGAATTGTCAATAAACCTGCTGCCTCAAGAGAGACTGGACAGATACCTAAAGTCAGTGCCGGATCAGCCGGGCTGTGGCTCGTACGTTGACTGCGTGCGGCCAACAGTAACAGCCTAGTTGATCAGGCCCTATCCATCGGGGGGCCCTGGTCATGGACCGGCCGCGGGGGCGTTGATCCCCGGAATAACCTCCAGGTAACCACAACTAACACCTGCAGCATACCTCTCCCTCAACCATCACCACGTGATGCAGTACAACACCCACAACTAACACCTGCAGCATACCTCTCCCTCTACCATCACGTGATGCAGTGCAACACCCACAACTAACACCTGCAGCATACCTCTCCCTCAACCATCACCACGTGATGCAGTACAACACCCACAACTAACACCTGCAGCATACCTCTCCCTCAACCATCACCACGTGATGCAGTACAACACCCACAACTAACACCTGCAGCATACCTCCCCCTCTACCATCACCACAACACCTGCAGCATACCTCCCCCTCTACCATCACCACGTGATGCAGTGTAACACCCACAACTAACACCTGCAGCATACCTCTCCCTCAACCATCACCACGTGACGCAGTACAACACCCACAACTAACACCTGCAGCATACCTCTCCCTCAATCATCACACCACCTTCCTCACCCACTCCATCACAACCCATTTCTATGAATCACAACCTTTTAAGGGTGCGTTGATTCAAGAAACTGGAGCTACACTCCCCTTCCCTGGATCAAATCTGCATGGCATGACGCTTAGCAATTTACCGCCTTCCCAAACACACACACGCACAATTGGAAATTGAAGACTCTGATGAGTCACAGGGATGTTAGGAAGTATTTCTTCATTCGCAGAGTTGTCAGGAAGTGGAATAGTCTGGCAAGTGATGTAGTGGAGGCAGGAACCATACATAGCTTTAAGAAGAGGTATGATAAAGTTCGTGAAGCAGGAAGAGAGTGGACCTAGTAGCGACCAGTGAAGAGGAAGGACCCGGAGCTACGACCCGACCCCTGCAACCACAATTAGGTGAGTACATCCTCCTCTCACACCACCCTCCCCCCCACCCACCCACCCACACACACACACTATTACCCTGTCAACAAACTGAAACCTGTCACATACGTGGATCGTGAAGGTTAGCACTAGCACCAGCTGTGTTTTTTTTCCCTACACCCAAGTTTATGACGGTTATTTCAATATATTACCACAGGTTGTTAGGTAAGACACATATGCAACAGTTAGGTATCTTTATTTCGACACGTTTCGCCTACACAGTAGGCTTCTTCAGTCGAGTACAGAAAAGTTGATAGAAGCAGAAGATACTTGAAGACGATGTAATCAGTCCATCACCCTTAAAGTTTTGAGGTGGTCAGTCCCTCAGTCTGGAGAAGAGCATTGTTCCATAGTATGAAACAATATGGAGATGAAGTGACAGGATGGAGCCTTATATAGCGCCAAGAGGCGAGACGTAGGTCACTAGAAGAGGTAAGAACTCAGATGTTGGGAGGTCAGGTCCCTCTCAAATCCAGCCGTTCTCACTAGTAGAGGTTGTCGAAGTTGATTGTAGGTCTGTACCAAGATACCCTTGTGTTGCAGTGTCTGACAGATTGAACATTAAAATGGTATAAAATACCGACAAGTTGTTAGGTAAGACACACATGCAACAGTCTTCAAGTCTCTTCTGCTTCTATCAACTTTTCTGTACTCGACTGAAGAAGCCTACTGTGTAGGCTTTTGAATCCAGGAATCAAAGTTACTCTCCTGGATCAAACTTCAGTATCTGTTGTTCCCTAGATGCTGCGTCACCCCTACGGGTTTTCCACTTTCCACGAATAATAAATCTAAGGAAGATTATAATAAAATAATAATAAATCATAATCTATTTATACAAGTACATAATACAGCTTAATTTCGTTCCCAGGATGCCATCCACACCAGTCCACTAACACCTAGGTACCTACTTACTGCTAGGTGAACAGGACGGTGTCTTAAGGAAACACGCCCGATGTTTCCACCAGTACCGGGGATCGAACTACGGACCTCAATGTGAGGTGAGTGCGTTACCAATCGAGATTGCCCTGCTTGCTATCTGCTAATTAAAGTTGAGAATGGATACAGACATGCTTACGTACCATGCGCGTGGTAGCCATTAATGGTGGGTGGATGTGTGGTAGAGGGCGTGGGGATGGGCGTGGGCGGTGGTGTTTGGGCTGTGTGCAGGGCGGGAGGAAGGTGGAACACTGACGCCTCCGGGTTGAGCACAGCGGCCCCACCACTGCTCGAAACCTGAAAAATATTTAACATCAGTTATATCTTTCATTAACCACGAAGCCTGGTCACAGACCGGGCCGCGGGGGCGTTCACTCCCGAAACCTCCACATATATGTAGAATTCTAAACCACCGGGGGAGTTGAACGCTCTACGCAATGTTGCAGAAATGAGTACAAGTCCAGGTAGATTCGATCCTTTGAACAAATCTACCTGGACTTTCTACTCATTTCTGCAATATTGCAAGCTCCTGAAGATGTGACTGCAACACGAAAGGCCTAGAGCTATCATTCAACTCCCCTCGTGGTTGTTTTACATCTTATATCTCTTGCTCGTTATTATTGCATTATACGTAGCATATATTCACGTGGATGGAGTATACCCTTCCTAAGGGTCATATATTCACGTGGATGGAGTATACCCTTCCTAAGGGTCATATATTCACGTGGATGGAGTATACCCTCCCTAAGGGTCATATATTCACGTGGAAGGAGTATACCCTTCCTAAGGGTCATATATTCACGTGGATGGAGTATTCCGTCCCTAAGGGTCATATATTCACGTGGATGGAGTATACCCTCCCTAAGGGTCATATATTCACGTGGATGGAGTATACCCTTCCTAAGGGTCATATATTCACGTGGATGGAGTATACCCTTCCTAAGGGTCATATATTCACGTGGATGGAGTATACCCTCCCTAAGGGTCATATATTCACGTGGATGGAGTATACCCTTCCTAAGGGTCATATATTCACGTGGATGGAGTATACCCTTCCTAAGGGTCATATATTCACGTGGATGGAGTATTCCCTCCCTAAGGGTCATATATACACGTGGATGGAGTATACCCTCCCTAAGGGTCATATATTCACGTGGATGGAGTATTCCCTCCCTAAGGGTCATATATTCACGTGGATGGAGTATACCCTCCCTAAGGCTCGTATATTACCTGGGAGAAAGAAGCTGTGGAATTTTATCTGGAAAATCTCTACCATCTTGGCTATAAAAATCACACAAGAACAGATTACCCTCGGGTAGGCCTACTGGCCAGTGCTAGACAAATCAACGCACCGTCGGGTAGGCCTACTGGCCAGTGCTATTCAACGCACCCTCGGGTAGGCCTACTGGCCAGTGCTAGACAAGTCAACGCACCCTCGGTAGGTCTACTGCCAGTGCTAGACAAGTCAACGCACCCTCGGGTAGGTCTACTGGCCAGTGCTAGACAAGTCAACGCACCCTCGGGTAGGCCTACTGGCCAGTGCTAGACAAGTCAACGCACCCTCGGGTAGGCCTACTGGCCAGTGCTAGACAAGTCAACGCACCCTCGGGTTAGGCCTACTGGCCAGTGCTAACAAGTCAACGCACCCTCGGGTAGGCCTACTGGCCAGTGCTAGACAAGTCAACGCACCCTCGGGTAGGCCTACTGGCCAGTGCTAGACAAGTCAACGCACCCTCGGGTAGGTCTACTGGCCAGTGCTAGACAAGTCAACGCACCCTCGGGTAGGTCTACTGGCCAGTGCTAGACAAGTCAACGCACCCTCGGGTAGGTCTACTGGCCAGTGCTAGACAAGTCAACGCACCCTCGGGTAGGTCTACTGGCCAGTGCTAGACAAGTCAACGCACCCTCGGGTAGGTCTACTGGCCAGTGCTAGACAAGTCAAACGCGACCCTCGGTAGGTCTACTGGCCAGTGCATAGACAAGTCAACGCACCCTCGGGTAAAGTCTACTGGCCAGTTTCTAGACAAGTCAACGCACCCTCGGGTAGGTTCTACTGGCCAGTGCTAGACAAGTCAACGCACCCTCGGGTTAGGCCTACTGGCCAGTGCAGACAAGTCAACGCAACCCTCGGGTAGGTCTACTGGCCAGTGCTAGACAAGTCAACGCACCCTCGGGTAGGCCTACTGGACAGTGCTAGACAAATCAACGCACCCTCGGGTAGGTCTACTGGCCAGTGCTAGACAAGTCAACGCACCCTCGGGTAGGCCTACTGGACAGTGCTAGACAAGTCAACGCACCCTCGGGTAGGTCTACTGGCCAGTGCTAGACAAATCAACGCACCGTCGGGTAGGCCTACTGGCCAGTGCTAGACAAGTCATTGGTACACTAAGGGAAAACACCATAAGTGTCCGGGGCCCAAAACTGTTCAACAGCCTCCCATCAAGCATTAGGGGAATTGCCAATAAACCCCTGGCTGCCTTCAAGAGAGCTGGACAGATACCTAAAGTCAGTGCCGGATCAGCCGGGATGTGGCTCGTACGTTGGACTGCGTGCGGCCAGCAGTAACAGCCTAGTTGATCAGGCCCTGATCGATCGGGAGGCCTGGTCATGGACCGAGCCGCGGGGGCGTTGATCCCCGGAATAACCTCCAGGTAACCCTCGGGGTAGGCCTACTAGCCAGTGCTAGACAAGTCAATGCACCGTCGGGTAGGCCTATTGGTCAATGTAGACAAATGGTTCATAGAACCGACAAGTTAATAAATTAGACACATGTGCAACACTTTGGTCTCGTTATTGAGGAAACGGTTCGCCACACAGTGGCTTCATCAGTCCATACAAAGAAGAATGGTGGAGATCAGAAGTCTGACGTAATCAGTCCCTCAACCTTTTCAAGACTGATAAGAGTGATTACATCGACTCCAGGCTGAGGGACTGATTACCTCAAACTATTTCTGATCTCCACCATTCTTCCTTATATAGGACTGATAAAGCCACTGCGTGGCGAAAACTTTCCTCAAAGATACCCAAGTGTTGTACACGTTTCTAATTTGAAAGTTAAGACATGTGCAGACATGTAGCAGGCTCTGGTGGCCTGGTGGTTAACGCTCTGGCTTCACACGGTGAGGGCCTGGGTTCGATTCCCAGCCAGAGTAGAAACATTGGACGTGTTTCTTTCCACCTGTTGTCTATGTTCCCCATCAGTAAAATGGGTACCTGGGTGCTAGTCGACTGGTGTGGGTCGCATCCTGGGACACTGACCTAAGGAGGCCTGGTCACAGACCGGACCGCGGGGGCGTTGACCCCCGGAACTCACTCCATATAAACTCCAGATCTGGGTATCTTGGTAGATAAGACATGTGCAACATCTGGGTATCTTGGTAGATAAGACATGTGCAACATCTGGGTATCTTGGTAGATAAGACATGTGCAACATCTGGGTATCTTGGTAGATAAGACACATGTGCAACATCTGGGTATCTTGGTAGATAAGACACATGTGCAACATCTGGGTATTTTGGTAGATAAGACATGTGCAACATCTGGGTATCTTGGTAGATAAGACATGTGCAACATCTGGGTATCTTGGTAGATAAGACATGTGCAACATCTGGGTATCTTGGTAGATAAGACATGTGCAACATCTGGGTATGTTGGTAGATAAGACACATAGGCAACATTTAGTCAACTGGCTGAGGGACTGACAACCTCAAATCTACGACTTCAAGGGTGATGGACTGATTACATCGTCTTCACATCTCTACTGCTCCTGCTTACTTTCTGTACTCGACTGAAGAAGCCTACTGTGTAGGCGAAACGTTTCGGAATAAAGTTGCCTAACTGTTGCCTATGTGTCTTATCTACCAACCTGTCGGTATTGTATACCATTTGATAATCCATCTGGGTATCTATTGTAGACGTTTCGCCCTCCAGTGGCTTCATCAACACAAATTCCAGGACATAATTTGCAGACAGTAGAAGTATATACAAAAAAACGAGGTTGTCAGTCCCTCAGTCTTGGAGTTGGTGTGAAGATCACCAGTGATCTTCACACCAACTCCAAGACTGAGGGACTGACCACCTCAAATATACTTTTTCTCCAAGACTGATTATTACATCTTCATTACTACTGCTGCCTCTGTATTTAAATCTGACTGAAGAAATCTAATGTGTAGGCGAAACGCTTTATCAATAATGATACTAACTGTTCTTAAATATCTTAACCTAGAAAGCTTGTTACCAAAGCTTACTGCTAATAGAATTATCAAAGCTTACTGCTAATAGAATTATCAAAGCTTACTGCTAATAGAATTATCAAAGCTTACTGCTAATAGAATTATCAAAGCTTATTGCTAATAGAATTATCAAAGCTTATTGCTAATAGAAGTTATCAAAGCTTATTGCTAATAGAATATCAAAGCTTATTGCTTAATAGAATTATCAAAGCTTATTGCTAATAGAATTATCAAAGCTTATTGCTAATAGAATTATCAAAGCTTATTGCTAATAGAATTACCAAAGCTTACTGCTAATAGAATTACCAAAGCTTACTGCTAATAGAATTATCAAAGCTTATTGCTAATAGAATTATCAAAGCTTATTGCTAATAGAATTATCAAAGCTTATTGCTAATAGAATTATCAAAGCTTATTGCTAATAGAATTATCAAAGCTTATTGCTAATAGAATTATCAAAGCTTATTGCTAATAGAATTATCAAAGCTTATTGCTAATAGAATTATCAAAGCTTACTGCTAATAGAATTACCAAAGCTTACTGCTAATAGAATTACCAAAGCTTACTGCTAATAGAATTACCAAAGCTTACTGCTAATAGAATTACCAAAGCTTACTGCTAATAGAATTATCAAAGCTTATTGCTAATAGAATTATCAAAGCTTATTGCTAATAGAATTATCAAAGCTTATTGCTAATAGAATTATCAAAGCTTATTGCTAATAGAATTATCAAAGCTTATTGCTAATAGAATTATCAAAGCTTATTGCTAATAGAATTATCAAAGCTTATTGCTAATAGAATTATCAAAGCTTATTGCTAATAGAATTATCAAAGCTTATTGCTAATAGAATTATCAAAGCTTATTGCTAATAGAATTATCAAAGCTTATTGCTTGAATAGGTGAAATTAAGACACGTGTGTAACATCTGGGTATCTTTATTGTAGACGTTTCGCCATCCAGTGGCTTTATCAATACAAATTCTAGGACATAACTTGAAGACAGTAGAACTATGTACAGAAGATGAGGTAATCAGTCCCTCAACCTTGGAGTAGGTGCGAAGAT